GCACAGATGGCTGAGTTAGGTAAGTGACCCATCTATACAATAAATAAATTTAAAGCAAGAGGGGAGGGAAATATTTGGATTCTGTGTGGTTATCTAGTGCTGTTATAACAGAAGGGAATTCTGATGGCCGCGTGGTAAGGAGGTACGCTGCAATCCCAAATATCAGAAGTAGATGGCTTTAACAAGCAAATTTACTTGGTCAAAGTTTGGTGTCTCTAAGTCCAAGTTCAGAGGACTAGCTCTAGAGGAACCCTACCCCTTTCTGGAGAAAGGCCCTTGCTTGTTTCTTGGTTCTGTAAAGATTTCCATGTGTGTTGGAATCAACTTTTCCTTTTGTCTAGGAGATTGTGTCTCCGAAACTCTTGAGTCTAAAAGGATGTACTCCACTCCTGGTCTTTTTTTTGCAATTAACGGGGTCCTTCTTCTGTGGTCCTTTCTCCTATAAGATAAAGATGTGACTCAACAAGAGTATGGCTTGTATAAGAATGATGACTTAATTAAGGATGGGACTTAAGTCAATCTCTTATAAAGCTGTGACTCAAGATATAACCCAAGTTTTAACTCCTGAACATATACCAAAAAAATGGAGGGTAATTACATCAGATCACAACATGGAGGATAATCACACAATCCTGAAGCTAAACACATTTTTTGGGAGAGACGTTTCTATCCAAGAGATAGTTCCAAGTATGTATCTTTAGGCTAATGTGTCTGTACAGCATGTTAAAAAATCTGTAAAGATGTTTTAACATTTGTATTCTTAAAGCTCAGTAGTTAGAGCAGGTATTATTATGATTTTATAGATAAGAAAACCACATTGGCAAGACTCTGAAGATAAAATTAAAAAGTGATGTTTTGAAATTAAATAGGATGGTGTGGGAAAGACTCTTATAGAAGTTGAAAGCCTCTGAAGGTTGTAATGAATCTTGAAGTATCCAAGGAGAGGAGAGAACAATCTGTCTCTGATGATGCTGCAATGGAGAGGAAAAACTCTTTACTAAAATGAATATTTTACCTGAGTAGAGAATTAGGAAAGATTTGGGCTTTCTTCTTCAAAATTCTGATATTTTTTCATTCACCTTGGAGGTTTTGCTAGGCGCCCTGGTTGTGTAGTGGGTTAAGTGTTGGGTTTCTAACCAAAATGCAAACCTACTCTGCAGAAGAAAGATGGAGCATTCTCTTCCTGTTAAGACCTAGAGCCTCAGAAACTGCATGGAAGATAGCTTGGGAGTTGGGATCCACTTGATGACAGTGAGTTTGATATCTGCAGAGAGAGTGCTTGCTAACTTTGAGATCTGAGATCTCTGATCTGGCAGAGATTGTAGAGTTTCTGAAGGGTTGGACACTTCATTTTTTTCATTGAAAGGTTTTTTTAAAAGAAAATACATGTTTTTAAAGTAAAATTATTGTTCATTATGACCCATTCTTTTTATGCTTTTGCTCAAAGTATATGTGTTAATACTATAGCTTTGTGTATGACCTGTCTATTGGGGGAGGGGAAGCAGGGAAGATCATCCTTTTCATTGATTTATCTCTATAATTATTTTGTCTTGTAAATTAAAAATGTTCAGTGGAATTCCACTGCCCTCTTTCAGCATTTAAGGATGTCATCCAAAAACATCAATAAAAAATGTTTTCTGCTCTTCAGTAATCAGAAACTATTCTAAAATTCAACTTCCTATCTTTCCCAGCATCCATCTCATCTCTCCAATGCCTAATATGTCAATATTTATGCGTTCCATTTCTTTCTTAACAATTTCTAATTTTCCTTCATTCATGGCTCTCACATT